ATGTCTTATCATCATCTACACTATTATTTGAAAACCCTGTCTCTAAAATAAACTGGCCCTAAATTTAGCAATTTCTCAATTAAAAAAAAAAAGAAAAACCGTTTGTGGTCGAATTTGGAAAAATTCTGGTAAAAGTTCAATGTGGTAGCAACTAATTATGACTAATGTGAAAGCAAAAAATATATACTGCAAATCCAAATATGTGTCAAATTCTTTAAAAATGATTTTATGTGTACAGCATAAAATATGAGCTTTTAAAGGATGCTGAGACATGAAGTGATAGGGGCTTCCTAACTCACTTGGAGAGGGATATTCTTTTAGGGAAGGCAGGATGAGATGCCACCTACTGTGAGCGGGCAGGCAACCTGGGAATGAGAAAAAGGCAAAACTCATTTGTTTATTTAATCAAGTGCATAGCCAAGTTAAATATTTTACAAGTCTTAATTCACAAACAGAAAATGCAGACCACAAGAGGCTAAGAAGCTCGCCTATCACATAGTCACAAAGTGACAGCCAGACTAAAGAGTAAAAACTAGAAAGGATTCTGCACTACCATTTCAAAGACACAACACAGCACTCCTTTTAGAGTCACTGGTAGGAAAGTCAGGGATGAAACTCCTAAAGTCTCTCCCTTGCCACAAGAGAATTTAAAAAGGCACCAAGTATCAGGCAAAACACAAGACATGTTCAATGACCTGGCTAAGCTGTTCCCAGTTCAAGGGCCAACCCAGAAATAACATCTGCACTCCTCAGCTTCTATCCCTATAGAACAGAGCAGGCTTCAACACTTCCTACTATCTGGTTCAGAAGATGTAAAGACTGAGTTTTTATAGGAAGGGAGGAAGGGAAAGAAAACATCATTGTTAGTAGTCTCTCACCCTCATAATAAATTTAATTACTTACGCATCAGGCTGTAAATGTGCTTTTCTGCAACATGTTCCGTAAACAGCTTTATAAGGTCATCTTTTAAGTCTCTATTAAGCTTGGTTTCGATGTAAAACTTATTCTGAAAAAGAAATTATTTTTTGTGTATCAAATGGGGGATATAATTAGTCTTGTGAACTGAAGCACTAAATAGTATTTTAGGAGACATGCATAAAGTCATCAATTAAAAAAAAAATCAAATAAGAGCCCACCACTATGAGTTCCATGTCTTTCTGGCATGAGATTGAAAAGTAAGAAGATCAAGAACTATGTTTCCAAAGACCACTGGAAGATCTCAAACATCAACTCAACTAAAATGTAGAGACTTTATGGAATCACCGTGTGATATCCCCTTTAAAATCCTACATCATCATCTAAAGACAACATTGCGAAGCACTCATTAAAGGCACCTCATTTACTAATGAGATAGGCTAAGAGCAGGCACAGGTGACTCCCTAGCACACATTCCACTTCATCAATGTCCAGTCAGCTTCTGGATTCCATGGAGATCATTTTTGCTTAAGAGGTAGACACACCCAGAGTAGCCTAATCAGACTGTGAAAAAGTAGGCTTGAGTTGAGGGCAAGAGTCATAGTCAGGACCACAAGAAGAACAAGATAAAACAGATGTGGTGGTCAGCAAAGAGACAAAAAAGAACTATGGATTCAAAAC